TCATCTCCAGCACCATCTGCCTGCCTGCCTGCCTCACTGTGCCTCCCACCACGACGATGATGGACTAAATAAACCTCTATATGCCAGCCCCAGCTAAATGTTTTCCTTTAGAAGTGTTGCTGTGATCACGGTGTCTCTTCATAGCAATATAATACCAACTAAGAGTTCCCCCCTAGCTGGGCAGTGTTATTGCGTGCCTTTAATCCCATTACTTGGCAGAGGCAGTTGGATCTCTGTGAGTTCCTGGGCAGTCTGGTTTGCAAAGTCAGTTCCAGGACACACAGAGAGACCATGTAAATAAAAAAGACCCCCCCCAAAGAAATAAAATTCATTTTAGAGATGTATACTAATATAATTAGGATTTAGATCACACACTTTTAAAAATTTTATATGTATGAGCACTTTGCCTGCCTCTTTGTCATCCGTGTACCACATGTATACCTGGTGCTTGAGGATGTCAGAAAGGGCATCAGGTCTCCCAGAACTGGAGTTACAGAGAATTGTGAGCCTCCTGTAAGAACTGGAAACTCAAGTGTCTTGCCTTTTTTTGTTTTTGTTTTTCTCTTTTTGAGTCAGGGTTTCTCTGTGTGTCCCTGCTGTCCTGAAACGAGCACTGTAGGTCAGGTTAGTCTCAAACTTACAAAGATCCACATGCTTTTGTTCCCAGAGTTCTGTGATTAAAGGCATAGACCACCACAACCAGCATACTAAGTCCTCTTAATCACTGAGTCCTCTGTCCATTGCAGTCTTTTCCATTTTAAAAATATTTTTGTTGCATATTGTGTGTATATGTGTAGGAATCCACACATGCACAGGAGACTTGTGTCCTATATTTTTTAACTTAAAATTGATTTACTCTGTGTTTGAGAAAGGGAGGGAGGAGGGGGAGAGGAGGAGGGAGGAGGGAGGTGTAAGCACACCACAGCCAAGGCCCTCCCCTCATGTGGAGGTCAAAGGATAACTTGTAGGGGCCAGTCCTCACTTTGTGCCTTCTTCTGCTGCTGTGCTGCACACCTCAGTCTAGATGACCCACAACCTCCCAAACAGTTCTGTGTCTGCCTCTCATCTTGTCTTAGGAGTGCTGGGTTACAGATGTGCCCTGGGAGTGCTGGGTTATAGATGTGCACTTGGTTATAGATGTGCCCTTAGAGTGCAGGGTTACAGATGTGCCCTGGGAGTGCAGGGTTACAGATGTGCACTGGGAGTGCTGGGTTACAGATGTGCACTGGGAGTGCTGTGTTATAGATGTGCACTGGGTTACGGATGTGCCCTGGGAGTGCAGGGTTACAGATGTGCACTGGGAGTGCTGGGTTACAGATGTGCACTGGGTTTTAGATGTTCCCTGGGAGTGCTGGGTTACAGATGTGCACTGGGTTTTAGATGTTCCCTGGGAGTGCTGGGTTACAGATGTGCACTGGGTTTTAGATGTTCCCTGGGAGTGCTGGGTTACAGATGTGCACTGGGTTTTAGATGTTCCCTGGGAGTGCTGGGTTACAGATGTGCAATGGGAGTGCTGTGTTCACAGATGTGCACTGGGTTACAGATGTGCACTGGGAGTGTTGGAGTGTTGGGTTACTGGACTGCTAAAGCTACATGATAGAGACCTGTTGTAAAAGAGCGAGAGGGAGGGAGAGACACAGAGACAGACTGACTGACAGACTGACTGACTGACTGACTGACTGGGACAAAGAACAATCTGTTAGTTCGTTGTGGTAGATTACATCTATTATCTCAGCACTTGGGAAGTTGAGGCTCGCAAATTGAGATTTTGAGGCCATCTTTGACTACATAATTAAATTGGAAGCCAGACCTTAACAAAGAAAATAACAGAGTGTGGGGGTATGCTTATGTCATTCCAGCAAGTAAACAAGAGCACTATTAGGAATTTGGAGCCTGAGTTATTTGTTAAATTCAGGCAAGGATGTCTACATGGTGATACCAAGTTAGCCTCAAACTCACAGAGATCCATCTGCCTCTGTGGTGATATTTTGCTTATGATCTAACAAAAATAATGTTTACCTGAAGTGCAAAGCTAGCCACAGTCATAGAAGCCAGGCAGTGGTGGTACACACCTTTAATCCCAGCACTTTGGAGACAGAAGCAAACAGATCTCTGTTAGTTCAAGGCCACACTAAGCTACATGAAATTAATCCAATCTAAAAGAGAATTCACAGAGCCCCCCCTGCCTCTGCCTCCCAAGTGCTGGGATCAAATGAAAGTTTTGTTTTTTTTAAAAAGAGATAGTAAAGCCTGGACTACTGAGTAAGTTCCAGGATAGCAGGGGCTACACAGAGGAACCCTGTCTTGAAAAAACAAAAAGAGCTATTAAAAGCCAGGTGGTGGTGGTGCATGTCTTTTATCCCAGCACTTGGGAGGCATAGGCAGGTGGATCTCTTTGAGGTAGAGGCCAGCCTGTTCTACAGAGCTAGTTCCAGGACAGCCAAGGCTATACAATGAAACCCTGACTCAAAAAACAAAACAAACAACAATAGACCCCAAAACAAATCAAACAAAAAGGATGGTTTTTTTTTTTTTTTTTTTTTTTTTTTTTTTTTTTGTGTGTGTGTGTGTGTGTGTGTGTGTGTCTGTATAGCACATACATCCAAGTGCTTATTTAGGCTAAAAAAGGATGTTGTATTTCCTGGTTGCACAGCTAGGATGGCTATGAGTTATTTGTTGTGGGTACTGGGAACCAAACTCGAGTCCTCTAAAGAAAGGCAAGTGATCTTACCAGCTGTATCATCTCTCCAGTCCCAAAGGTGTAGCCCAGGGTGGCCTTGAACTTGGGACCCTGCCTCTGCCTCTTCAGTGTGTCCTACAGGTATGCACTACCACAACTGTAAAACACCAGGCAGTATAGGCAGCATTTTTCTTTTTTTAGCATTATTTTGTGTGTGTACGCACCAGTGTGTTTATCTTGACATGTCTGGAGGTCATAGAATAACCTCCTAAGTAGAGGCTGAGGCAGGAAGATCACTGAGTTCAAGGTCAGCCTGGTCTACCTAATGAGCTCTAGCCTAGTCTGAAGAATGAGAAGATGCTTCGACAACAGCAAACAACCAACCTAACTCCCATTCTGTCAGGATGGGAATGCAGTTCAGTGACAGAGTGCTGGCCAGCAGGCACAGAACCCCACACTTAATTCTAGTACTGAAAACAACAAAACCCCAAGTAAGGGCCAGTAGAATAGCCAATGAAGGAAAAGCACTCACTGCATAAGCCTGAACCCTGAGTTCAATCTGGAAACTTATACAAGGCAGAAGCAAAACTCTAAAGGTGTCCTCCAACCTCCACACATGTCCACACACACAATGTAAAAGAAAATATCCAAATAAACCAAGGACAGTTGTGTCATTCCTCCTATAGGAGGCTGATCAAAGGATCAGGGTAATTTAAAATTTAAATGATTAAATATAATAGTGACACTACCTTTGCATGCTTTAGTTCTAGTTCTGCAAGTTCCACCAAATTTTTTCTGAATGCGGCCACTCTTCTCGTCTTAAAATCTATCAGTTCTGTAAACAAAAGCAAAAAAATTAGGACACAATCACAAAGCCCACCTTGCCCAGGAAGTGAAAGATTTTAGTTTGCTGAGAGAAAAAGTTTCCCACAGGCCTTGGCCCAGGACAAGAAAGTTGGTCCCAACCTGAGGGCAGACAAACAATCCTTTTTGGGTTACACCTGGCCAACAGACAATCGGGGACTTTCCAGGGTACATTCTATGGTTTTTCCTTTATAGAAAAGCAGGTCACACTTGGGTGACCACTCTAACATGAGATCATAATCATACTTTGTAATCAATCACTTTGTGCCCCTTGCCTGTATGCTGATCTGCACACACCATGCTGGGGTGTGGAGCTTTCCCAATATTGCTGATACCCGAATTCGCATTCATAAGATAAACTCTCTTACTTTTATAGCTCTTGGTCTGGTTTCTGAGTCTCGGGGGCTCCTCGGGATCCTGTGGCCCTTAGGGGTCTGGGGTCTTTCAGAAGGTGTGTTAACTGTACCTTGTTTTGCAGATTCAGATATTTTTTCAAACTTTTGACAGCACAACTGTTGGGAAGTTTCAGCCTGTAGAACATCTTTGTTTTTTGCTCTTGCCTTGTCCAGTGCTTTATTGGCATTCTCGTAGTCCACCAGTGACCTTGACCTTCTATAGAGGAGGTCCTGCAAAACACAGCATTGGCAGTCTATCATGTGCCCTTCCTGCAGTTAGACGCAACCTCCACAGCAGCAGCAGTGGCACTTAATCGGGAACTTCTAAATGCAGCTGGGAGTAAAGGTGTCCGTCTATCCCGCCCCTGCACCCCCGGCTGTGGTGCACATCTTTAATCCCAGCAAATGCCCTACAAACCATTGTCCTGCACATGTTACATAAGCTCACCATCACTAATTTGGAAATTAAGAGTATTCTCGGTGCTTTTTAAAATATTTGTTTTCTTTTTCTGAGCCTTTGCTGCTGATTACTCAGTCTTTTATACACAGCAGGAAATGTGAGTCGTAGTGTTCGCATCTCAGTCAAGGACTTATATCAAATTAGAAATCAGTACATATCCAAATCTTATTTGGGCATTTTGCTTTTTTAGGTTTTTTGAGACAGGGTTTCTCTGTGTAGCCCTGGCAGTCCTGGAACTCACTCTGTAGACCAGGCTGGCCTCAAACTCACAAATATCCACCTGCCTCCTTAGTGCTGGGGTTAAAGAAAGGTGTGTGACACTATGCCTGGCTCTGAGAAAGGTAATTTCATATAGCATTTATTTGTTTTTGAGACCAGGTTTCACTACAGAGTCCAAGCTAGCCTCACCTCATTTCTCCTGCCCCAATCCACCAAACGCTGGGATCCCAGCCAAACAGCACGGCACTGTTTGAGAATACAGACCAATATGCCCATCATCAACTCTTCACAACCTAAACGAACCTTAGCTGCTTGCGACTCCCTTAAGTAGTACTTGAGCAGGTCAGAAAGCTTGAGGTCCTCATCAGCAGACACCCGGGCCTCTATTTTCTGAAATGGGAAACGGCATTAAATCACCTGTTGTTACATTTGGCTCTACATAAAAACTTTTTTTTTTTTTTTTTTTTTTTTTTTTCCCAAGACAAAGTTTCTCTGTGGCTTTGGAGGCTGTCCCGGAACTAGCTCTTGTAGACCAGGCTGGTCTCGAACTAACAGAGAGCTACCTGCCTCTGCCTCCCAAGTGCTGGGATTAAAGGCATGCGCCACCAATGTCTGGCCCATAAAAACATTTTTAATGTGTAGCTACATATAATGTGTTTCCACTCTGCTTTATCTGGGTGTCTTTCAAAATTCCAACAAGAAATGAACAGAAAAACAACAATGAATTTATGAAGAAATTCTACATTTGGAAACTTAACTTCCTTACCATTTTTAGCTTTGCTATTACAGCAACGGCAATTGATAGGTGCTTATCAACAGATGAAGGAATTTGAGAAGAAATGGAAAGGGAAGCTAAAAAGAACTCTTTGGGGGGCTGGAGAGATGGCTCAGAGGTTAACAGCACCGTCTGCTCTTCCATAGGTCCTGAGTTCAATTCCTAGCAACCACATGGTGGCTCACAACCATCTATAATGAGATCTGGTGCCCTCTTCTGGTGTGCATGCATGCAGATAATTGTTTATGTAATAACAAATAAATAAATAAAATGTACACGCCATGCCTGCCAAAAATCTTTAAAAAAAAAAACTCATTGCCAGGTGGAGGTGGAGCACACCTTTAATCCCAGCATTCAGGAGGCAGATGTTGGATCTCTGAGTTCAAGGCCAGTCTGGTAAACCAAGATCCCTGGAACCCACGTAAAGTAGAAAGCAGGGAACCAATTCGCCAAAATTGTCCTTTGACCTCTCTATGTCAGAGCATGTGCACCCACATACACTCAATACACATGCACACTAATATATACTTAAAATAATAATTTAAAAATTTAAAAAATCCTCTTTAAATTATCTGAGCCAGATGTGATGAAACATGCCTATAATCCCGGCTGGGGCAGAAGAATCTTGAGTTCTGGGCAATATAAGTGAGATAGTTTCTCAAAAACATTACCTTTTTTTTTTTTTTTTAGGTTGTTTTGGTTTGATATGGTTTTAGTCCTGGCTGGCCTTGAACTCAGAGAGCCAGCTGCCTCTGAATCCTGAGCATTGGGACTAAATATGTGTGCCACCACATCTGGCCTAAGAGATGTTTTATATCAGCTAAATGCAATAAGAAATTAATCTGTCTCCTGACTTGTTACCATGAAGTCACTTAAGTAGGAAGAAGCAATGGGGAAATCTGTACTTGGTGACATTGAGAAAAACAATATCACTGGTTATATTTTGAGGCAGGGTTTCTCTGTTGGCTGTCCTGGAACTTGTTCTGTAGACCAGGCTGGTCTCAAATTTAAGACATTTGCCTGTCTCTGCCTCCCAAGTGCTAGAATTAAAGGCACGTGCCACCACCACATGGCCTTTCTTCTTCTTTTCCCCCTTTTCATTTTAGTATTGGCTATATTAAAAAATAATTATCAGCCTTAAAGAATTGAGATGTGCCGGGCGTTGGGGGCGCATGCCTTTGATCCCAGCACTCGGGAGGCAGAGGCAGGCGGATCTCTGTGAGTTCGAGACCAGCCTGGTCTATAAGAGCTAGTGCCTGGACAGCCTCCAAAGCCACAGGGAAACCCTGTCTCGAAAAAACCAAAAAAGAAAGAAATGTTCATTTTCAGGAAACCTTGGTGATGTGTATGTAACTTTTTCTACTACTCTATATTCTTTTCTATAAATCTGAGACTAGGTCAGGTATGGTGGTGCACACCTGTAATCTCAGCACTTGAGAGGTGGAGATTCGGCTTTATAGAGTTCAAGGCTAGCTTGATCTAGACCCCAACTCAAAAATAAATATCTGAAATCACTATTGGAATTGTTTGCTTTTCTTAAGAGGCATGCTCACTGAGTACTAAAACACGGGTAAACCACCAAGTGTGAGCATGCTCACAGAGCAACCTGAATGCTTACATTCTTTCTAGTGGGAGTACAGCGGGTACACATGTGCCAGTGCTGAAGGTCTGAGGTCAGCCTTCTTCCGTCACGGGGGTTCTAAGATTGAACCCAGGTCATGACAGCAAAGGCCTTCAACTCCTGAGCCACCTCACTAATCCTAATTAAAAAAATGTTTTTTACATTTTTCTGGGGGTGGAAGTAGGTCATGCTATATAGGTCCAGGCTTGTCTTGAAATCAAAGTCCTCCTGTTTTAGCTTTCTGAGTGCTAGGATTACCACAGCTGACACTTTCAACAATATTTTTATGTTAATTTTATTTTGTCTGTCTCAGAGGCACATGTGGAAGCTGAGAACTTAGGGAGACACCTCCTGTGTTTCAGTTTTAGGGGCACAATACAATATTGTTAACACAAGTATGATTCTATGCAGTAGTTCTTTCATGGTTAATACTTACTCTTGTTTTATCAAACAGTTCCGAAACTTTGAGGAAAAATCTGCAAGGGAGAAATACTTTCATCAGAAGTAGCATTTGATTAATTTTTCACTTTAAGTGTTTAGACATGATAACCCCAAACCATATTAACAAAGGACATTCTTGTTTCATCAATAAAGCACCCAGTGGTCTTGTTAACTGCACTTTTTACAACAATAAACTGAATAATACTCTTTTGATTTCTCAGAAGCTATATGGTGTAGGAGAGAACAGATCCCCACAAGTTGTTCTCTGATCTCTACACTCTTGCTATTACATGTGTGCCCCACCCCAAACAAATAGACAGGCCTGGTGGAGCACACCTTTATTCCCAACACTCAAGAGGCAGAGGCAGGTGGATCTCTGAGTTCCTGGCCAGCCTGGTCTACAAAGACATTTACAGGGCAGCCAAAGATACAGAGACATTGTTCTCACCCACCCACTAAAAAATGTTTAATGTTAACTTAAAGAATTAAAACACTGAAGACGGAACAATTCTTAGAATCCTCTGGAAATATTGTTTGTTGTTTATTTTTGGCTGTTAAGAAAACTGAGCTCAGGGCCTCACACATACTAGGTAAGGTTTCTACCACCAAGCAACAGCCCCAGTTTAAACATTTATAGATATAGAAACTTTGTCCTGAAAACAAAAATGAATAACAATTGCTATCTCAGAATACACTCTCAAATAGACAGCATGGCAAGTCTATTATCAGTTTTAAAATATTCTAGGCTGAGCAAAGTGGCTCACACCCTTAACCACAGCACTCTGGAGGCAGAGGCAGGCAGATCTCTGTTAAGAGGCCAGCAAGAGTTACATAGTAAAACTCTATCTCAACACAGAGGATGGGGCCTGGAGTAATGGCTCAGCAGTTAGGAGCCTTGCTTCTATTCCAGAGTACCCGAGCTCTGTTCACAGCACCCATGTCAGGCGACTCACAGTAACCTGTGACTCTCGTTCCAGGGGATCTGACACACTCTTTGGCCTCCAAGGGCACAAGCACACAGGTGTGATACACTCATGCAAATACTTACACATACAAATGAAAAGAAAAAATATGTATGTAGTTTTTATAGAACAAACAATGAGTGTGTGTGTGTGTGTGTGTGTGTGTGTGTGTGTGTGTGTGTGTGTGTGTATGTATTCATTCCTTAAATTACTTGTTTTTAATGTGTGTGTGTGTGTGTGTGTGTGTGTGTATGTGTGTATGTATTCATTCCTTAAATTACTTGTTTTTATATGTGTGTTTTGCCTGTATGTAAGTACACACAAGTTTTTAAATTTATACATGGGTATGCCGTGGGACCACCACATATATGTGCAGAAGAGGGTGTTGGAGCTCCTAGAACTGGAATTACAGGTGGCTATGAGCCACATACACACATACTAGGAACCAAACTAAGCCTAGTTTTTGTCCTTCTCTTTTGGTTTTATGAGGGTCCAGGCTGGCCTAAACTCAAAACTGCTCTGCCTTAGCCTCCCAGGTCCTAGGTCGAGAGGCCCTCTTTCTTTCTTTCTTTCTTTTTTTTTTTTTTTGAGACAAAGTGTCATGTATACCAGATTTGCTTCAGCCTCGTGTCCATGATCTGCTGTGATACACATCCCTAGCACATATATATACACACAAAATAAATATAAAGTGTTTTGTTTATGTTCAACTGGAGTGCTAGGAATAGAGGTGTGTGCCTATAAATCCCAAAAGCCAGCATTCAGGCAGCAGAGTTAGGAGAATCTAGAGACCAAGGTCATTCTTAGCTACATAGCCTGTTTGAACACTGTGGGCTACGTGTGACAAAGTGTGGAGAAGAGCTGGGGGAGGGGTATATTGGGTATTTAGCTCAGTGCTAGACTACTTGAATTGAAAAAAAAGTTTAGTTTGACTTCCAATGAAATAGATAGCAAATTTGTGAAATGTTCAATATTTATTTACAGACAGGGTCTCACCATGTAGCCATGGCTGGACTAGAACTAATGTAGACCAGGCTAGTCTCAAACTCTAGCCTCAAAATCACAGATATCTGCCTTCTGCCTGCTTTGGCTTCCTAGGTGCTGGGATTAAAGGCATGCACTACCATCAGCCTGAAGTGTTGAATATTTTAAAATAATAATTAGAGAATGAGAAGACAAAAAAGAAACCAACTACTTTATTTTAATAAAAAACCCAGTTTATCATGAATGGGTTGATAAAAATACCCTACAATGGCTATGTAAATTATAAGCACTATTTCCTCTGCTGCCAGCAACCCTTCCTCTGATTTACTTGTACTCAAGTTCTTAACTATAATTCTTACTTGCATATATCTGTAGAGTCCTGAGTTCCTAAAGCATATAATGAAGACCCAATTCTATTGTAATCATCAGCAGCACCTATGGAGAAAGTTTTGAGAATTAAAAACCAAGTTTTAATAATATATTAATTTAAAAATACTTACTGATCACCTATCTGCAAAACGTAATATAAAAAAAACGCAGTAACAAAACAAAACAAACAACTGTAATGTGATATGATAGATACATCAGACATGTAAAAATTGCTTTAGAAGTATGTAATGCAGTTGGAGAAGACCATGGAAACTAAAGAATGAACTGAAGTGTGGCCGGGCGTTGGTGGCACACGTCTTTGATCCCAGCACTCGGGAGGCAGAGGCAGGCGGGTCTCTGTGAGTTGGAGACCAGCCTGGTCTACAGAGCGAGTTCCAGGATAGACTCCAAAGCTACACAGAGAAACCCTGTCTCGAAAAACTAAAAGAATGAACTGAAGTGTGTAGGGTGGGCAAATCTTCACTAGGCAAAGAGAGCACACACTAAGGGAAACGGCATGGAGAAGGTCACACGCACAAACAGAACAACACATTCAGAGCAGGTGAGACTCAGTACTGTTGGAAACCAGGGGGAGTGGATAGAGTGAAGACAAACTAGAAATGTTTTGGAAGTCAAAGTCTTGCAAACCAAAAGAGTTTGGGTTTGTGGGATAGATATCACTAAATATTTAAGTTGAAAGGTGGCAAACTCAACCTAAAAAGAATTTTAGAGATCCTCCACCCCCCGAAATCTGCTATATACAGTCTAAAAGGGGAAAGACAGAAAAGGCAAGAATGACCAACCAAGAAACTGCTACAATAATCTGGGTAAGAGATACTAGCAAAGCTGCAAATCGCTGAGGAAGTCCCTACAGGTAGGAATCATGAACAACACACTTGATATACACAGTACACACACACAACATGATAATCTCTTTACTCAGATGCCACAGGGCAAAGGACTCAACTTGAGCAAGCTATCCACTTGCTGAAGGAGGACTACAGTAAGTGCTTCTTTTATTTCATACAACATGAAACCACCCGTATGAGGATAACAATGGTACCCACATAATTTATGTGGAGGACTGAATGTGTTACTAAATATTACAAAGTATTTGGATACTATACATGTTAATTACCATATATTAGCTAGTAATAAATTCCAAGATACTTATCTGAAATATAGTAGCAGTATTTTTACTAGTATCTCTCTCTTTTTGGTTTTTCAAGATGGTTTCTCTGTGTAGTCCCGCCTGTCCTGAAACAAGCTCTGTACAACAGGCTGGCCTCGAACTCACAGAGATCCTCCTGCCTCTGCCTCCAGAGTGCTGGGATTAAAGGTGTGCACCACCACTACCCAGTCTAGTGTCTGTCTCATTTTTTAAATTTCAAGATAGTTTATTTTCAAAATGGGTCACAACATTAGCTTCTGGCACTCTGCCAAATGTACAAGCTACAAATGCTTGCTCAGAAGCTGAGGGGCACACGTTAGTACCATGTCTGAAAAGTGATTAAAAATCCAAATAAAACAAATATTCAGTTTCCATAGGACCCATCTCCTAGCCTCCCATACTGCACCTGTGCCACAGTGCCTGTCTCTTAACAAAACAGAAACCCTTATATTTATTCTGCATAAAATTACTTTCAACTGATAAGCACTAAACTATTATTGCTATTTAAATTAGATTTGTTTTCATTGTAAATTATGTGTACCTGTGCATGGATATGTTTTCTTGAATACAGATGTCCTTGGAGGCCAAAAGAGGATGAACATTAGATCCCCTGGAGCTGACATTAAAGGTGGTAAAGGTGGTTGTGCGCTGTCCAACATGGGTGCTGGAGTCAAACTTAGGCTCTTTGGAAGAACAGCAAGCGCTCTTAGCCACGGAGCCATCTTTCTAGTCCCAACATGTCTATTAAATTTTGAATAAATTAGGTGTGGTGGTGCATATCTGCAATTCCAGAATTTATTATGAAGTAGCCTAAGGCTCACCCATAATCTTCCTGTCGCTGCCTCCACAGTGCTGGGATTATAGGCATGCTACCGTGTCGGCCTCATTTTATTCTGGGGTTATCAGTACAAATACACATTCATCGTTGTTCTTTAAGCACCACCTATTTGGCCAAATGAATAGGAATCACCAATATTTTCTTCAGTTCATTGCCTTCCTGTCCCTTTCCTCCTCCTCCACCTCCTCCTCCTCCTCCCCCTCCTCCTCCTCCTCCTCTTCCTCCTCCTCCTCCTCCTCCTCCTCTCCTCTTTTTCTTCTTTTTTTTTGAGACAGAGTTTCTCCGTGTAGCTTTGGAGCCTATCCTGGCACTCCCTCTGGAGACCAGGCTGGCCTCCAACTCACAGAGATCTGCCTGCCTCTGCCTCCCGAGTGCTGGGATTAAAGGCGTGCTACCTACACCCAGCTCCTCTTCTTTTTCTTACTTAAAATGTATCTATTTAAACTTTGTATTATTATCTGATGTTTGTGATGTGTGTTTGAGTGTGGGCAGGGCAGGGCACGGCACGGCACAAATGTGCAAGCCAGAGGACAACTTTGTGAGGTGATTCTCTTCTTCCACCTTTCTGTAAGTTCCAAGGATGGACCTGAAGTCATCATGCTTGTACAACAAGCATCTTTCTTTACCCACTGAGCCTTCAAGGCAAGACTGAATCAGAACTGCTGTGGGGACTAGGACTGTAGCTCAACTGTGTGTGTGTGTTAGCTTACATTTACATAGTTCTAGGTTTGACAGCCAGCACCACACGCCTGTAATCCTAGGTTAGGCAAAGAAAAGGTAGGGGGATCAGAGGCTTAAGGACATTTTTGGCTACACTGTAATATACTCTGTTCCAAAGAGGACACTTGGAGGGAACCTGAGTGTCACAGACTACAATTTAAGAACCACTATTCAGACTTTCATTAAAAAAAAAAAAAAAATACAAAAAGAAAAAAGAACTGTAAGTAACATGTCAACCTTACAATTATTTCAACTTAAATGTAAGGTTTTTATGGGGGGAATGGTTAATTGATTAACTTAACCCAGTGGTTAAGTGCTAGTAGAGGACCTGGGTTTAGGCCCAGCACCTGTATCAGGTAGCTCACAACCACTTATAATAACCCCAGTTCCAGAGGAGCTGATGCCCTCTTTCTGGCCTCCACAGTACATACACATACACTTTTGTTTGCTTGTTATTTTCGAGACAGGGTCTCTCTACAGATCCCTGGCTGTCCTGGAACTCACTGTGTAGATTAGGTTGGCCTCAAACTCAGAGGATCTGCCTGCCCCTGCCTTCAGAGTGCTGGAACTAAAGATGTGTTATAGCCGTGTCCATAAAACAAACAAATCTTAAAGTTTTACCACAGAAGTCTTACTTTTGTGAGATCTTGTCATCCTGTCAGATTTAGCAGATGCATCTTTAACTCGGTTATGATATTCTAAAAGGAATGTTCGTTCATGCTCAAAGAAGTCATCTACGTCCTGTGGGATAGGAAAGAGCTGTTTACACACGTGCTCTAATGTGACGTGAAACCTTGCCATCATTACAGAACCGATGTCAGCAAAGGAGGACAACTGTCTTCTAGCACTCAGGCTTTACACCGCCCTCCTCCACACAGTCAGACTTTACCAGACAAGCAATGGTTTACAGCTGAAGGCTAGAGTGCCCTGTGTGCTAATCCTGACCAAGCCTATGCTCTGCTGCTACACTGCTGCCCAGAGTGAGCAAATGCTTTTGAGGAAAAAGGAAAAACATTCTGGTAGCTAGAAATGAAAAAACAAACAAACAAACAAACTTATTTTTCCTAGTCTATTATGTATTTCAGGGGTTACCTATACTAGCTAGCTACTTAGATGAACTTAGTCAAATAAGTCATTTGGGAGCAAATGATACAATTAACTACCATTTTCAATCTTTTTTTTTTTTTTAAATTTTAAACGTTGACTTTTATTTTATATGTATTGGGGTTCTGCTTACATATGTCTGCATACTACTCGTGTACCTAGTGCCATAAGAAGAGGGGTGCTAGATCCCCTAAAACTGAGTGGCAGACCACAGAGATAATGGGGATCAAACCTGGGTCTTCTAGAAGAGCATCTCTCCAGCCCCTAGATATATGTTTTAAAATTTTAAAAAGTCACTAATAGTGCTTTCTAGCAACTGTTCTTAGAAAGTATTATAATATAATTAGGATTTATAGCAATAGAAACTGAACAGCCAAAAGTCTGCACTAAAAAGTGTCATTTAACCATCACTTCAAATCTGTCAGTTTTCTTAACCATAAAAATGGTGATAACATTATATGCATTATAACATGCAAGGTTATAATGAACACTGCAATCAAAAGCTACAAATTAATATATTATACATGCTAAAAATATCTGTTGATTATGAAAATCACAACTAACAGTGGTTTACATTTACTAGCTAAGAAAATGTTAACTGCAATACAGAGAAGCCTGATATGTCACTAGAGAGAAGTTTGCACTTGGACTGTCAGCACAAGCTTTCATGCAGATATGAGAGCAGGCAGTAACAATGAAACGGAAGCACTGTTCACCTTTCCTAGTATCTGCTGATATTGTTTACTGAAAAAAGGTACCAGGGAAGTAAATTCTCATACCATTTGAAAAACATCATTAAGGAAAAAGCTACTATTTAGTAACTATTAGAATATTTTCACACACATTTAAGTCCATTCTTACCACGATACTGTGAACCAAGTGGTATTACTTCATTTTGAAGATGGAAAAACAGTTTTTCTCAAGATCATACATTTAAACCAAAGACACTACCAAAACCTCAGCTGAGATCTGACTAAACCCAATCCTGGGGCTGTCTATCCTGCACCTGAAGGCAGGTGTGAGGCACACATCCTTAATCCTAGAATTTGAGAGGCATAGGCAGGAAAGTATAACTTTACCTTCACTCCTGAAACGATGACTCCATCTGCTGACTTAACCATGTTTTTAAAGAAATCCTCCAGCTTTTCTTTTTTATTTTTTCCTCGAACACTCAACTGAAGAAAAAAAAAAAAAAAAGGCAATTTAAATTAGCATTTTTGGAAGCTACAAACAGTAATAACCCTTCTACTCTTAGACATTTAAATGGAAATCTTTTGTTTGTTTGTTTTAAAGATTTATTTATTTATTATGTATACAGTGTTCTGCCTATACTTCTGCAGGTCAGAAGAGGGCACCAGATCTCATTGTAGATGGTTGTGAGCCACCTTGTGGTTGCTGGGAATCAAACTCAGGACCTTTGGAAGAGCAGCGAGTGCTCTTAACCTCTGAGCCATCTCTCCAGCCCCTAAATAGAAATCTTAAAGGACCTCAGTTTCTAAACTTAAAGTAGCCCTCCTGCCCCCTTTGGTTTTCTTGAGACAGGATTTCTCTGTGTAGCCTTTTGCTTTTCAGGAACTCACACTGTAGACCAGACTGGTCTTAAACTTAGAAATCCAGAGATCTGCTTGCCTATAGCGTGAGTGGTAGCATTAAAGGCATGCACTACCATGCCTGGCAAAAGTAGCAATCTCTTGTGTGTATATATAAGAGTAACAGCCATGCTGGGCAGTGGTGGTGCATGCCTTTAATTCCAGCACTGGCAGGTGGATCTCTGTGAGTTTGAGGCCAGCCTGGTCTACAAAGTGAGTTTCAGGGCAGCCGGTGCTAATCAGTGAAACCCTGCCTCGAAAAACCAATAGATAGATAGATAGATAGATAGATAGATAGATAGCGAGCCATGGCATAACTGTATGTCAACATGCAAAAGATTACAAATAGACTGATATCACTATGCACAAAACTCAGCTCCAAGTGGATCAAAGACATCAACATAAACCAGTTACACTGACCCTGATGGAAGAGAAAGTGGAAAGTAGCCTTGACCGCACAGGAGACCATTCCTTAAATAGAACACCAGTAGCACAGACACTGAGAGCAACAATTAATAAATGAAACCTCCTGAAACTGAGAAGCTATTCCTACAGAATGGGAAATATCTTCACCAACACCTGACATAGGGCTCATCTCCAAAATACATAAAGAACTCAAGAAGCTAGATATCAAACTACCAATTAAAAGATGGGGTACAAAGCTAAACAAAGAATTCTCATCAAAAGAATCTCAAATACCCAAAAGACATCTAAGGAATTGCTCAGCATCCTTAATCATCAGGGAAATGCAAATCAAAATGACTCTGAGACACCATCATACACCTGACAGAATGGCTAAGATCAAAAATACCGAGGTCATCTTGATGTTGGAGAGGATGTGGAGAAAGGGGAACACCCCACTAATGCTGGTGGAGTACAAACTTGTACAGCCATTTGGAAATCTGTATGGTGGTTTCTTAGAAAATTAGGAATCAATTTACCTCAAGACCCAGTAATACCACTCTTGGGCATATACCCAAAGGATGCTCAATCATACCACAAGGATACTTCTTCAACAGTGTTCATAGCAACATTATCCGTAACAGCCAGGACCTGTAAACAGCCTAGTTGCCCATCAACCAAAGAATGGATTAATGTGGTACATTTACACAATGGAGTACTACTCAGCTGTAGAAAACAATGACATCATGAAATTTGCAGGCAAATGGATGGAACTAGAAAAAAAATCATCCTGAGTGAGGTAACCAAGACTCAGAAAGACAAAAACAGTATGTACTCACTCATAAGTGGATATTAGATGTAAAGCAAAGGATAACCAGACTACAATCCACAGCTCCAGAGAAGCTAGGTGACAAGGAGGACTCTAAGAGGGACACATGGATCACCCTGGAAAGGGGAATTAGATAAGATCTCCTGAGTAAACTGGGGGTTGTGGGGGGTGAGCAGTAAAGGGGAGGGGATGGGAGATGAGAACACAGGGAACAGATGGTTGAGTTGGGGAAGGGACCGAGTGGGAGAGCTATGAAAGAGATACCTTTATAGAGAGAGAGCCATTATGCATTTAGGGAAAAAAAAAAAAAAAAAAAAAAAAACTGGTGCTAGGAAGATTCCCAGAAATCTACAAGGATGACCCCAGTTAAGACTCCTAGCAATAGTGGAAAGGATGCCTGTACTGGCCTTCACTTGTAATCAGATTGGTAAATACCCCCAACTGTCATCATAGAACCTATATCCAGTAATCAATGGAACTAGATGTAGAGATCCACAACCACCCACCAGTCTGAGCTGTGGGAATCCAACTGAACAGAGGGAGGAGGGAATAGATGAGCAAGGGAGGTCAAGATCATGAAGGGGAATTACAGAGACAGCTGAACCAACTACAGCTGTTGAGACTCCATGGGCCTGATCTAGGCCCTATGCATGTGGGTGACAGTTGTGTATCTGGAACTATCTGAGGGGCCCCTGGCAGTGGGCCCAGGATCTGGTGCATGAGCTAGCTTGTGGGAGCTCTTTCCCTATGGTGGGATGCCATGCTCAGCCTTAACACAGGGGGGAGGGGCTTGATCCTGCCTCAACTTATTGCGCCAGACTTTGTTGACTCCTCATGGGAGCCCTTGCCCTAGGGAGGAGTGGGGGGAGGGGTGGACTGGGTAAGGGGAGGGAGAGAAAACTGTTTGGAATGGAAATTGGAAAAAAAAAAAAAAGAGTGCCAGCCATGGTGGCACATATCTGACACTTGGGAGGTACAGGAGTTCAAGGTCACTCTCAGCTGCACAGCAAGCTTTCCTGCAGCCTGGACTACACAAGAGCATCTCAGAAAACCCTGAAACCTTTTTCTTTTTAATTTTAAAAGTAAAAGCGGAGCCGGGCATTGGTGGCGCACGCCTTTGATCCCAGCACTTGGGAGGCAGAGGCTAGGTGGATCTCTGTGAGTTCGAGACCAGCCTGGTCTACAAGAGCTAGTTCCAGGACAGCCTCCAAAACCACAGAGGAAACCCTGTCTCGAAAAACCAAAAAAAGGTAAAAGCGGAAATTAGTAGAAATACAAATGCTCAAGTGTCATGCTCCAAGATTCAGGTGGTAAAGGCCTACTTAATTTTACAACATTATCTGATAATTCAGTTGCAAGTAGCTCTCTCATCTTTCTCTGTCAAATATTGATATATACTAAAGTGGCAAGTAAACATTTAATTCAGAGCTTGGTGTGGTGATGCATACCTTTAATACCAGCACTCAGGAGATAGAGGCAGGTAGATCTCTTAGTTTGAGACCAGTCTGGCCTACAGAGCAAAGTACAAGACAAACAGGGCTACTCAGAGAAACCTTGTCTGGAAACAATATAACCCCCACTGAAAATGAAATACAAGCCGGTCGGTAGTGGCACATGCCTTTAATCCCAGCACCCAGGTGATCTCTGTGATTTCCAGGCCAGCATGGTCTACAGAGCAAGTGCCAGGACAGGATCCAAAGCTACATAGAGAAAAACACCCTGTCCCAAAAAACAAAACAAAACAAACAAAAGAAATATACTAGAGTAAGTACAACACGAAATACATTAGGCAAATTCTTTATTCCCTTTACTGTGAATAGAACTTTTTGTCTCATGTTTCGGTCAGCAACTTAAACTACAAGTGAAACAAAAGATAACTCTGAATGATTACTGGGGGGAAACTAACAAAATTCCAAGTATCAAACATGAGACACCCTCTTTTGAGTTGTTGGCCAGGAATGTCTAAGAGACTCCCAAAACATAGTCTATTGTTGTTGTTCTTGGCTATATCCCACTCCCCAGAGGTAGGAGTTAAGTCCCTATTGCTAAAGATACCATGCAGAGTTCAAAAACAGGGCCCAGAGGCTTCTGAGCTGGAAGTGACCTGACTGTTCCCTCCCTCAGGCCTGGCTTTCATGGTACCAGAAGATGCCATGCAAGCTTCCAAAGGAGGGAGGCAACCAGCAGTCCCACCCAGCTCTGATGCCTATGAACCACAGCAGCGCCCAGCACAGCATGATAACGCCAGGGGGCAGTAGTGGCACACATGCCTTGGTGGTAACAAACAACTCTCTAATAGGACTTAAGACCCTCTCAGCAAGAGGGGTATCATGCCTGGTGCTGGAAAACAAGCCAACTACTCAGTGATGGTAAAGTCATTGTTACTGGAGCGAATCTACAACCACTAATTTACTAAACCAGCACAGTCCCTAACAACAATCTAAAGACATTTGTCCTTGTACCACAGATAATTGTAGTCCCCATCCTTTACAATAGATGGAGACCACTACAGAAAACCACAACCAATCAAAATATAGAGCTGTGGAGCCTAATCCCAGTGGACTCAACATTTCAAAAGTGGGGGTGTATAAAGATTTTAAGAGCCAGAGGATAAGGGAGGTTGCTGTAAGATTGTACTTCCTAGTAACTATAATACCTCAGAAGCTACACCTTAGAAGTCTCACTAACATACCTGGCCAAATATGACCTGAAATAGGATGACATCAATGAATGTGCTGAACTGGATGGAAAAAAGCCCAGCAGACTTCAACCCTACACAAAGAATTATAGGCAACTGTGGTAGCTTGAATAAGATTGGTCCCCATTAGCCAGGCTACACAGAGAAACCCTGTCCTGAACCACCTCCCTAAAAAAAAGATTGATCCCCATAAGCTCAAATGCTTAGATAATGGCATTAGGAGATGTGGTCTTATGGGAAGAAGTATGTCACTAGGGGTGGGCTTTGAGGTTTCAGAAACTCAAGCCAGGCCCAATGTCACTCTCTCTTCCTGATGCCTGCTGATCCAGATGTAGAACTCTCCAGCACCATGTCTGCCTGCATACCGCCATGCTTCCCACTATGGCAATAATGGTACTGAACCTCTGAACTGTAAGCCAGCCTCAATTAAATGTTTTCCTTTATAAGTGTTACTGTGGTTATGGGGTCTCTTCACAGTGATAGAAACTGTTGGAACCCAGCCCCCATGGGGTCTCTAAGAGTTGTTTTCCAGCATAACCACAGGTACCTACTGTTTTCCTGACCTCACCCCACTGGGATCAATATCCTGTTGTGAACCCTTTGACCTGGGGGTTTTTGTAAGATTGTAAATAAGGCTGTTCCACAATAAAAGTGGGA